TAGACATGCAAGAAAAGTTTAACACAAAAGACCCTCAACCTATAGCACCACCCCTGCAGATCTTCCTTAAACACAAGTAGTATAACAGTGTAGTAGTATATCATTGTTTGTATTTGGCTTTTCAGTTTTAAGCTATGTATTTTACAAATCTCATGTGGCTTGTTCCTTAGAAAGCCATGTGATGTAGGTTAAAACTCTGGAAGAGTGACAAAATGTGTGTTGGAAAGAGGAGGAAAAATAGATACCGGTATGCCTATTTCCAGGTGCAGCAGTGCTTCAGCATAGCTCAGCTCCACTTCCTTTGTCCCGCTATTTCTTCCATTTCTCCCATGATTTTTAGGCATGGATCCAAGAGGTTTTTCTTCTGTCCTGCCACTTTCCCTGGGGCAACCCACAGTTTATTGCTGAATCAGAACAAACGTCAATCCGTAGAAGACTCAGTTGACGTTTGTTCTGATTCAGCAGTAAACATCGGGTTTTGCCGCGGGAACTGGCAAGGCAAAAGAAGAACCTCTCAGACCCATGTCTAGACAACATGGGACAAATGGAAGTGTGTATGAGTCCAGAGTGCGACATGACCATCTCTGCCCATTTCTGCTCTGCAAAGCCTGCCCTTGTAAGCTTTGCAGGCATTGACTGCACTTTTATAAGTGGTGATCATAAATTCTGAGGGTGCCTCTTTCAAAGCTGAGCAGGAAGAAGACAAGTGTGATGGAGCAGAGAAAGCTCATGATGAGAATGTTTATGAACTACAGCGCTATAGAAAAGTTGCCCTTTTTATAGGGTGTTTCACCTGCTGCCATTCATTTGCTTCTCTGTCTTGTTGACGGTGTGTGGGGAATGCACAGACTGTCCCTTTGGACAGGAAGGTTTGCCCTGAAACTCAAGCCACATAAACACAAGCCCAATTTTGTTCATTCTTTTTTAAAAAAATAAAATATAAATCAGTAGTCGGTGTGGATAGGATCCTTCCCTCCCTAGAACACAAATGAACCTTGTGATCCTCCGGGTTATAAATTATAAATGAGCAGCATGCTCATCTGTTATTCAGAAGCAAAGGTCAAAGGATTCCCCCCACCCTTACGTTCTTTAAACTGGATCTCCTTTGATGTCTACACCGCATATACATAGCAATCATTATATCCCACGCTCTTGCATCATTAATGCAACTACAAACGAAACAAGTCAAGTTTTGAATGCCCAGTGCTTCACTATAAGCACACAGATGTGAAAGGAAATCTTGAGCTAGATAAAAACACACAAAACTTTTACTGATGGGATTGCTCCCTAGCGTAACCATGCTTGAAAGCAATGGGGGCAAATTATGATCCTTTCGGGCATAATTCTTGCTCTCCAGAAATTTTCTGTCTTGCTGCCTTTGACTAGCAAAACGGGAGCTTGCTGTGTAGGTTAAAAACCAGACGCTGCTGAAATATGCTTTTAATTTCTAATCATATGACATTACCACCTTGAAATTGGGCAACAACTGTATACTCCATCTATTATTACCTGCTGTAGCTGTGCACTATTACTCCAGTTTAGTTTTGCTTCTTTATTTAATTTGGCTCCTGTCCATCCAACAGGTTCCCAGGGCGGCTTACAAAAAGTTACAGTTAAACCAAACAAAAAATGGAAACCAGCAAAAATTAAAACACACACACACACACACAATACAGCATTAAAATAATGTACAGTAGATTTAAAAGGCTCTTAGTGTGTTGCAAGAGTATATAGGGCACCATATGTATTCACATAGGGGTCCATGGCCATTGGAAGCCCAGTCAATCAGAAGTCTTGCAAGGAATCCAACACATGCACACACAACCTCTTCCACACTGATACCAAACAGTCAGGAAAGTGGTCACTGCATGTGTTGGCTTCTAAGGCACAGAGGCAAAGGTAAAAGGTAAAGGACCCCTGGACAGTCAAGTCCAGTCAAAGGCGACTATGGGCACAGAACCAGCCCATGTCTTTACTACCCCCAGCTATCAATTGCCTTTTGGGTAGCATCACATCAAGACACAAAGCCCGGGGGACCACCAAGTATAAGTTGTTGCAAAATGGTTATTCAAACTCTAAAATGAAGAAGCCATTTATGTTAAGCATGTTTGTGGTGTCTAGAGACTGAGGATATTCTAAATAGTTAATGGATTGTAAATACTCATTTTGCATTCCAAATATTTGCTCCTCAATAAATTTTACTTTAGCATCTTATCATTCAGTTTTACTATATTTTATTTTTAAAAACATGTATTTGTAAAGCCATTATAGTCAGGTCTTAAGACCTTAGCTATTTCAAATCATCACAGGCTAATATTTTGCAGAAATTTGTCAGCCCTAATTTTATGTTTGCCCTCACCCTTTCCAGAATCAATATTCCTTTAGAGTTTCAATTTGCAGCCCCTTCTCAGGTCATAAATGTTTATGGAGGTCATTAGTCGGGAGGTAGAATGCCCCCAAATGTACAACTAAGAACAACTGAGAATTAAGTGCAACTATAACCTGAGCTATGTCTATGGGATTCTAAAGAAACAGTTCATGTGATAAGGTAGAGGATGGGTGGGGGCAGGGAACACAAAGAACAAGAAGCTCACCACTGAAACCTAAAATCTCCATTTTGGAGGTTTAATTGCTCTTTATTTTATTTTTATTGTATCCACTATCCTCAAAAATGCTTATGGACTACTTTTGAGTGGTTATCACAAGGGTTACAGAATGCATTCACATGTTGCCTTCTTAATGAGAAAATGTGTGGAACAAACCAACTGTTATATTGCCTTTCTGGGGAAAGCTTTCTTGCTCATGGAAGAAGGCAGGAGGTGTAGGCAGCAGTCTCAGCACTCAGTTGTCCCCCTGCAAATGACCTCTGCCCAATACCACCTGTCCTGTCTTGCTGTCATCTCCTGACATTCCAAAGAAATGGTAGTTCATAGCACTAAGGATAATGCATAGTTTCAGATAATTGAAAAATCTCGTACACAAGGCAGTGACTAAATTAGCCTTCAGAAATAATTGGGCAGTTAAAATAGATTTTTCAGTTATCTGAAATCTTTATGTTGGTTCACCATCTTTTTTGTTGACATTTTGCTATTGAACACTTTATGACTTGATACCTGAATCTGCATTAGCAGAGTAAAAGACTAGCTTTGTTGGTGTATTTGATAAACACCCAGGTTTTATTACTTGCCACGTTTCTTCCCGTCCCATCTGCAATTTGCACTTCCTCATTTCCACCCTCTCAATCTATTGTGCTCTCTTTCTGTTTCCCCCTTCCTTGTGTTTTTGTTGTGGAAGATGAGAAATGTCATTTTTATTCACAGTGCATGCTGGATGGTCATTTTGCTGATTGTACAGCAGAGAGATTTGAAGCCCATTTGAAGGCTACTAATCAGTCTTTGGAATTTTATGAAAAGGTTGTTCAGAGACCCTAAAAGGCCTTCATTAACATCATTTTGTCCCATTTCCCCTCTCAGGAGAGCTACCACCACAGGAAAAATTAGGGTTGTGTAGTGACCTCAACATGGTCAGCACCCAAGATTTGAATCTTATTTGTCATATGGTTAGGCTACTATTGTCCATGTAGACATTCTGAGAGAGTGTTAATTTGCTCTGGTGTTTTTGACCTTAGTTTAGAACGTCATTCTGTGAAGCATCAAGATCATTGAGTTAGTTTTTGTTTTTTTGCTGTACCAACCCTATTAAAATGATGCAAGACCTGCAAAATTGAATTAGTTGGGATGTTGCAATAACATGAATATGTACTAACATTGTGTTTTATGGTAAAATATAAAATGTAGCTTGAAACTGTAAAACGGTTGCTGATGTTTTCATATGTGATTCAAAGCATCGTGAACAAAATCTCTCAGGCATTAATTTTACGATGCTTTATATATTTATTTTGACAATTCCGTGTTGTGTCATAACCAAAAGCTATTATTTTGTTAGTGGTTTCAATAGAAATTTGAATGGCCATAATAATACTAAGCAGTAGTGTGATGTTTCTCAACTTTGTTGTCTATAATGACATTCCATTATAGATTAGAGAGGATTGTAAAGAATCTATTATCCTCCCCAGATTAATATTCACAAGTTTTAGAAAATCAACATGTTATTTCGTACAGTTTATTCTAATAGTCACTGGCACACTGGCACACTAACCACTGCAACTCATGAGTTGCTTAGAATATATTCTCAGGATGGAATACAGTGTCTGTCATTGCAGCACAACATGACTGGCTCTTGTGTTGTACTGATATCATTAATTGATTCACATCACTTCACTGCACCTTCTGAGGGCCTTCTCACCTGTAGAAATGGCCAGAAATTGCTCCCAAACTTGTGTGGTCAGGAGAGCTCTCTCCTGGTTGTACATAAAGCATTTGAGACAAACGAGCTACAGCCTTGAAATCCTCCAGTTGGGATGGAAAGTCCAGCCCCTGCAGAGGTTCCGTGGACCAAGAGGGTTCACTGTGGGAAAGGGCTTCCCTCTCAACCATCTTTGTATATGCTGCCTCATCATTTGCAGGCCTCCCCTATCGCTTGGCTGCCTCAGACAGCTTTGCACAGCCAGCAGAAGTCTGGACAGAAATTTGCCATTTACGGCTGTTAATTATTGAGCCTCCATGATTTCTGGTTGCAAATGCTTCCTGTCGCGGGATGAGGTCCTAGTGGAAACTTGTCTGGACCTCACAGAGCTGTCATTTCAGGAGTTTGGGTGGTGTGTGTCTGTGTGTGGGAGCAACAGATGGGCTAGCATTAGTCAGGAATGCTCCTCCAGCTTGGATTTTATTCTGAACAGGGGGAAAAAATGAATTTGCAATGCTTGTATCTTCATTGAGCTGAGCTTTTCAAGGCCCTGAAGCTCTCATCCAGGCCAGGCTCTAGAGAACTTCATCAGCATCTGTACATTTCTGTGTCTGTTGACACTGGTCATATTGTTCATTCAACAATATTTTTATTGTGTCACCAACTGTGCTATTAACCCTTTACCTTCTTTTTAGGCTGGTAGGATGGTGGGGTCATGACTTCAAAACCCGGTTTCTCATGGAAAACAGTATGTATATTTCATATTCAGTTTTATGTAAGGATTTATTTTATGGTTTATATAGATTGTATAATCAGATTCTTTCCCCCCAACCATAAAAAGAAGAACAAACAATGACCAAGAAGGCCACATTCCTACTTCTGATTTAACAGGCCTTTGCAGAGCGAAGTTTTATGTCATTTTTTGAGTTGCTGTACTTTACAGCCTGGTGACTCAATATTAAAATGTTTTTAAGATGCTATATCATTTTGCTATGTTGTGATTTGCTGAGCTGAAAGGCTTTTGTAATAGTGAGTAACAATTATTCCTTGTCCCACAAATCCCTGGGCCAGAAATAGAGAAGGCCAAGAACATGTCAGATATATATATTATTTCCAACGACTTAACATGTACTAGAGCATAAACTTCTGCTTGTTTCACGGCAACAGGGATGGCAAAGAAAGCTTCTTTTGCCGCTTCTATTGCACTCTCAAGTAGCTGTCCAGCAGAGGTTTTCTGAGTGGTGAGAGGTTTGTTAACATCTCTCCTGATAAATGGGATGTTGGCGCCCCCTGAAGATTGCTGTGACATGTTTGCTAAGCACTTGAATTATAAAAGTATTAGTCTTCACAAGAACTTGAATGTTCTGGTTGTGGCAGGTACAAATGAAGTGTCCAACACACCACCTGGTCACATTTTATGTGATCAGTTTCACTTTTTGAGGCCTGAAAATGTGAACAAGGTGGTTGCAGCTGTCAGCCTTCTTGATTTGCTCACTTTGCCTAATAAAGGCGAGCTGGGTGTGGTCAGGTGGGTCTAGGGTGTGGTGAATGTCTCACTGTGTGAAGGAAAAGGATATACTGCCGTGAAGAAGAAGATGGTATTGCATCTACTCCTTAAAAACCGATGTTGGACTCAAAGGCTTTTGACAGCTACCACCTGATTGCTAATACTTTTTTTTTGAGGAAGGTGCTTCAGCTGCAGCAACTCTTGGAAGATACTGATTCTCTTTATTCTTCCCAGGATAGGTTCAGGCCCATTTCACGAACTGAATCATAATCTGTTGCCCCATTGACCTTTATGGAGAGAGGGGTAGGACTGCAACCCTGTGGCTTCCACTCAATATTTTGGCTGGTTTTGATATAATGAACTATGGTGTTTTATTAGGCTGTCTCTGTGGGAAAGAGTTGAGAGGCTCTGTTTTGCAACGGTTCTGCTCCTACCTATGGCAGGATCCAGAGAGCATAAGGTGATTATACCATGAATCCCTGGAGTTCTGCCATACGGAACCATTTCATTGCCAAAGCTAGTTTAACTTCCAATATGAAGCTGTTGGGAGCAGTTATGTAGAGATTTGGAGCCTGGTGTCATCAATATGTGAAGTTGATAATGCTTAACTATATTTCTCTAATTTTGGGGGGGAGGGGGGGCATGCAGGTCCTAACCAACGCTGTATGCATTGTATGTATGATGCCTGTATGCCTTGGTACACTGGATGAGGGCTAACAAAACCAAAAGTACTTTCTGACAAGATGGAAGCCCTGTGAGTGATTGGTTCTTTGTTCTGGGAACAAACAAAAGCTAGGGATCTAATAGAATGTGTTCATCTTGCAGAATTGCAACTGAGCCCTGGCATCAATGGATTTCGACTATCAAACCCTTCGATTTTATTGGTGTGCGCCCTCCATGCTAGTTTAGAGGTGAGCAATTACATTTTCATGACAGATCAAGTACAAACAAATGAAGCAATTTGTGTAGTATTAACCTACATTGCGTTCTATACAGCAGTTAAACAAAAAGTCTGGTTGAAGACTAATGTACTATAAAAAGGATGATCTCACTGCTATGAATATACTGCCAGCCTTAACATCTGCTTGTAGCATACCAGTGAAGAGAACACTGGAATTCTTGCCTGGTTGCTGCCTCTACCATGGTTTCAAACAAAATGCCACTCCTTCCCTTCCCCAGAGTGGCTGGAGAAACCCAGCCATACGGTCAGGGTAGTAATAATAATAATAATAATAATAATAATAATAATTTTGTGCCACATAACTTGCTTGGAGGAGGAGAAAGCAGAAGTAGCATCTTGATGGAATGCTAGAGATAGGCATTAATTTTAAAACAAAGCTGAAGTATGTTCTAGCACCATGATTTTTTTTAAAAAAATAATGAACCTGTCTTCAGCTAGTTGTCATTTATACTAAAGCAGCACTTGTGTGTTCACATGTGGATTTTTATTTTTTTGGCAAGAAATCAAGAGGTCAGATAGGTGTCGTATACAGCTACTGGTGAGCTGAAAGTCCCTTAAGGATGTTTTCCCAGTGAAAATAGGGTGGCGCTGTGGGCAAAGAGAAAGAAGAAAATACAGAAGTAAGGGGGGGATTGGTGCATTGGGATTTTCTAGGAAAAGTAGTAGCAGTGCCCCTTCCCCTCTTCTTGCTTTATAAAATAATTTTGCTGCTGCTGCCAGTAGTAGATGTCACCATCCCCTCTCCCCCAACAGTATCCTAGTACATTGTCCCAGGCAAGGAATGTGCTGTCTGGATTGTCATTGCTTTCAGTGGCAACAAAAGTACAGTATGTTTAAAGTTAAGAAATTGTGTGGAGAGGGTGGGTGTGCTGCCAACATCACTTCTCACAGTAAGTCCCTTTCTCCTGAAAATAGTTATTTTATGCCCAATGGAGAAAAATAGCCAAAACAGTCCCAACTTTCACAGCTGTGAATGGGCATTCAAAATATTCACCTCAGCCTAATTGGGCTGACTTACAAATATTAATTTGAACTAGCCATATCTTGGATCACAACCATCTGCTCTTCCTTAACATCACTTAATTTTGAATGTTTTACACTACTAGACACATAGTGCCAAATCACTAGGTCATTTCCCCCATTCTTATAATGGCTAAAAAGTAAGACTGCTTCATCTCATAAAATTTCCAGGGTCATTTTCACATGCATTTCAAGATACCTTTATATTTTTTCTGTTCATTGCTTAGCAGACTGACCTGGACTATGTACCAAAAGGCCAGGCATGTGACCACAGATGTTTGTATCTTGACATACATCTAGCAGTCACCCATAATGTAGAATAAGATCTTATGGCTCCCTTGCTTGATTTATCAGTTGATGCACAGGAGAACAAAATGAAGGTAGATGCGAAATTTAAATGTGTTCTAAAAGTTTCGCTTGTGAATCTGCAAGGTTTCTACAAGGAAGTAAAGTGCGCGTCCAATACAGATACAATGGAAATAGATAATGTATCTTGGAACAATATTTGAGATAGGGAATCATTATTGTCCCAACTTCCTTCTCATATGTGAGTTCCTAAGGGTGAAAATATTTTCTCCAGAGCTTAAAAGAGAGACTTCTATCAATTGTCATTTCCATACACAAAATGTCTAGTGTTCTGTGATGATTCCTGAAATTGGCTTGTTTGTAGAAAACCATCAGCAATCTTCAGGATGGGATTATATAATGATGTTGACTCATAATGCCACTTACATGCTGATTTCTGTCAGATGCTAATTTAGTGCATGCATATTTGAATGAAAAATAATATTTTATAACTTTCTGTAACCTGCAACATTCAAAGTTTTTAAAACGTACTTGTATTCATTGCAGCCTTTAGTTGTCCGTTAGGGACATTCTGAATCCATCTGGGGGGAAAATAATTTTCTAAATGCTATCATCAGTCCTAAATAAATAAAGCCAGAGAATTATCAGTAATTTTACTGTTTGCTTTTCCTGCTCTGAAAAATTGCAAAGGGGCACGGCAATACTTTTTCTTCTGTTTGGCAATTCATTTTGTTTGTCCTTAAACATCTCTTGTATTTTTGTAAACTTTATGTGACCTTAGAGATGCTTCTCCGCTCTGACCCAGATGGTGCTGTTCATAAGGGGGAGGGGGAGCAGCCATTTAGCCCACGGCAGGGGGTCAAAGGCAATGAGAGCTCATCAGTTTCTATGGACTTGCCTTTTTGCGCCTGTGTTCCTCTTTTGGCACAGTCAGGATTCCCTTGTGCTAATTGCTGTAGTACAGTGAAATAGAATGTGTATCTGGCAAGAGATGGCTTGCAAAATTGTTTCCCATCTTGCTCTGGGATGCATTAAACAGAGGGTACAGCTTCTAAAGAAAATACCAAGCAATGTAAGTGTAAATGCACAGCAAGGACAATCTCTTGCCTTTTGCGAGGGGAGAATGTTTGTTGTGGGGACATTATTCCTGGCAGCATTCCCACACCCCTTGCAAAGTCACAAGTGAATAGACTTTATATGGCCTAATCTTGCAGAAGAAACCCTAAGTTTCTGCAACCGTAGGCAGCTTCTACATAAAGGCGCACAATATTTTTACCCCCTTGTGCATCCTCCAAGTCTCAGTGCCATTAAACTGGTGGCATTCTTATTCTCAAGGCCACCCTCCAAGCAGTGTAGGGTACAAGTTCCAAAAAACAATCACCTTATGCTGTTCCTAGGGAAGAGGGAGAAATTCAGTTCAGTTCACATTTAAAGGCAAACCTGCCTAACTGCTTTCCGAAACAATATTCAAACTGGAACACGGCCATCCTTGAAATTCACTCTTCTCCAAATTTTGCAGCACAGTTCTTCAGCTAAAGAATGTATATGCAAAAAAATGCATGTACTAGAGTCAAGTGTGCATAAAAATGTAAACTTTAGCAAAAATAAGAGAAAATGCGTTAGCTTAGGGGAAACTGCTTTGGAAGATGTTTATATTAGGCAGGATTGCTTACATTGAGTATATTAGGTAGAAATTCACACTACAATTCTGGTGAATTTTCATGACATTTAAAGAAAAAATTCAGAGTGATGTGAGAATGTGTAGAAATGAATTTAAGATTGGAAAAATAAGAAACAGAGAAGAACATAAACTGAAAGATTCTCCCATCCCTAGTCGTTCCTTTCTAGGGATGAGTCTGTTCTTCCTTGGAACTACAGCAATCAGATTGAAACAACAATTTCATTAGATGATAATGAAAAGATCTTTACTTGGTGCCAAAAAATAGAACAGACTTAGAACCAGGAAAATCTCCCTAGGATAGCACCACCAAGAAGCCACTATCACCAGTCATTACCCATCTCGCATCAGCCAAAACGGGGACCAGAAGAAGGGACTTTAAATATAGCTGTACTATGAGGATAACATTTCTGACCTAGTTTGCATTGCTCCTATAAGGATTACTGAGAGAAAACATTTTTCTCCTGAGCACAGCATCTGCATATTGTGGACAGCTTGAGAATGAAACTCACGACGGCATTCATACATTTATGTTCACAAATGTTCTTCCCAACCATATGAGTGCTCTTGTGCACTCAGGTGCAGATATATCTACTTTCATTAAAATGACTGGCTTTATTTCTGGCACTAAGTTTTTATCTTACAATACTCAAAAGTCACTTTTTGCAAAGCTAAAGTAGATCATAGGATATAGGCTTTGTAGAGAAGGATGCAGTTTATATTTGTCTGGGGTCTCTTTGTTTTGCTGCAATGATGTAGTTGTCTGTTTTTATTTTAAATATAGGTATTTGGTCAAACTACAATGAAACTCCTGAGAAGGAAATCCATTCTTCTGACTGGTTACTTGGAATATTTGATAAAGCATTACTATAGTGAAGATACAAATGACCCCGAGCAGCCCTTTGTAAGAATAATCACACCTTCCCAAATTGAAGAAAGAGGATGCCAGCTCACACTGGTCTTCTCAGTTCCAATTAAGGATATTTTTAAAGAGTTGGAAAAAAGAGGTGTCGCTGTAAGTAACCAAGGCTTCGCATTGCTTTATTTAACAAAGATAGTGGGCTGTGTGATAATTCTAGAATTGCTTCTATTCACCGCTGCTTAGGTCAGAAGGAAGAGGGGGAATCAGAATACCGATATGGTTCTTCAAAACACATAAATTGGTTTATGGTGGTGTTATTATGTTTGCCCTGGGGGACAAACAAAATAAAATATATAAGGTGATACCTTTATTGTAGACTTCCCCAGCAAAAATAAATGTGTGCATGCAAGAAAAGGTATCACTTGACTATCTTGAGCATTTTAAGGCTTAATTCAAATCACTTTTGAAGCTGTCTATATTGTATTGGACTTATAGTAGTGGCACTGATTAACTGAGCTGGTGTGATGGCCTGGAACGCTCACAGAACTAAACAGTTCGCAGTTCAGCTTCTGGAAGAGAACAGAAAGCTGCCAGTTGGGCTAGGATTAAAATCTTGCACAGGAATAGATTAAAGACTGGGGAGAGGTCCCAAACAGGAACTGTAGAGGTGAGGAGGCTGAAGGTAGAATGCAGAAGAGTGAGTAATGGGCTGAGTAGTTAGAAGAGAGTGTAGTTCAAAAGGAGTTGAGAGTAGAAGACAGAGGAAATGGAAAACTGAGGCAAGAAGGGCCAAGTTGGAGAAAAGGATCTGAAGCAAATCCACAGCATTAAGATTAAGAGGAGTTGTGTGCTATGGAAGGGGAAACTAAACTGTGAAGGCATCTGCCCAGGAAAGAGGGGGCCCCGCTTGTCACCTTCCTCATATCTTTCTAGCCACTGACAAAACAAAAGTGAGAGGTTTTTACAATCTACTAGAAATGGCTTCTTAACGTATCATTTGAAAGGGCGGTATGTGCCTATGTGTTTCAATAATATGCTGCCATGACAGTCTCTCAGCTATTACTTATTTATCTACTTTATCATTCTTGCTCTCCACTGCCACTATATTTCCCACCCACAATCCCTTTTCCTCACAAGAATTCTCAGAATCCCAGAGCACCAACATTCTAGAACAGCAGGTCTTTGGGGGCCACCACCACAATTCCCTTTTCTTTTAAGAAACCAATCCTGAAAATCAGTATTAACTGATTAGACACATGACTATTAGTTTCCTACACCTTCCCTGTGTAGGAAATGACAATCTGGGCTCCTAAAGCAATGGGATTTCTTATTCCTTTATTTCTGCATTGGTCCTTGTCCTCTGGCATAGGGTGTGACTATGCCAGAGCTCAGAGATCTCTGAAAACATTCTGATGCATATAGCAACTAGTTTCCAAATATCACATAATAACTCATTTGTATTAATTTCTCTTCCCCTTGTCCCCCTGATTTTTCAGCTTGGAATGGCAAAACATGAATTAGTATCTACCTTCCCTTCTAAAAAAAGGCTTATTGTGATTTTAACATCCCAACCCTACACTTAGTTACATAGCAGCAAGCCACATTAAACATGAGACTTACTTCTTTGAGTAAACATATATAGAATTGCACTGTAAAATATACCATGGAAAAATCAATACCAAGAACCCTAGCTCTCCATCTTTCCCCTCTATTCTCCGTTTATATGGGCCACAAATGGGAGAAAGCATTGCATTTGGCCAGCATTATAACAGGAGCACAAACGTTATGTTAGCTTTGCTGCTTTTGGAGTTTGGCAAACAAATATGAAGCTATATTAATTTTCTAGATGTTTATTGGCTGTTTTGCAGTGTGACATTCGGGAACCCAATGCTCTCCGTGTTGCCCCAGTTCCTCTCTACAATTCTTTCCATGACGTGCACAGATTTATTGAAATCCTGGGATCTGCAATGGCATCTGTAAAGCAAAGAACAAACACTGCAGCACTTTCCTGATCTTACTGACGGTGCAGCTATACTTTTTAATCTCTTATGAAGATGCATCAATGCTTCTGAGCAATTTTTGTTTGTTTGTTTGTTTCTCTTGGGCTGGGCTATATGTATTCCACCCATTTGCCCCAAAAGATTAATTTTGCTTGGATAGTTATTTACAATAGATACACTTTTTATTAAAACTCATTATTTCTACTTATTTGGACTCCATAAATTAATATGCTTTATGTATTTTAATAGGGTTAGTCTTTAGCATTCTAGATACTTTCTTCATTTAGATAATTCTGGTTTACTTCTGACAGGCGAAACAGAAAGACAGCTGCAAACCTAATCTTTGTCTAATGTCACTGTGTGGAATAAGGCACTATATACAACTCTGTGGATATAACCTGCATTGGATTTTAAGCACAATTTCTATTAAAGGGAATTTTAATTTGCGCTGAAATTGTATTCATAAACATCTAAGTAGAATTTAAGAATTCACAAATGACTTAAGTTTTAGACATCTCAACTTTTGTTTAAATGTATTTAGCGTTTCTCATAAACCTTCTGCTGAGTTGCTTTGCTCACTTATAGCCGTTTATGAAGGATTTACAGCTCCCCTGGATACCCAGGCAAAATAATGGCCCAGAAGCCTGCTTCTTTAGAAGAACAGATCCAGGGGGATCCTGATCTATATCTATTTGGGCTCTTGTGGTCATCAAGGTATATGTGTTGACATCGTACCTCTGACATTGGTTTTAAAAGAGTGCCAATCTTCTGGAATGCTGAGGCATCGTACTGTTTTGTTCTTCAACGTGCTCAGTGATTGTGAAACACTTCCATTAAGCAAGTGGGGCTTGACTCCTAATTCAGTGTAGAATCATGGGCTTATCTTGTAAGTGCACCAGATGTGGTGTGATTGAGGCAAATGTATGCTGCTTAGTAAACTGTCACTGTAATCCACCACCATATCCGTCTAATCACTGGGCCATCTGAAAAATATTTGGACATTATGCTGTCTGAATATGTAAGGAGCAGCAAGAGACCAACATTTTGTACACCAACCATCAGTGTATATTGCACCAAACTCACTTTATCTCACTGTAACAAACTTTGCATTAATCTTGTACTTCAGAGGTTCCCCCTCCCCCAATATGTTGCATATGGGGAACTATAATCTATAAAGTATACATTTTGTATGAGAGAAATATGGCAAAATGAGTTGAGTGTGAAGACAAAGGAAAGCTGGAGAGCACAGTTCTGGTAAGTCTTGGTGGTATCTAGATAGCTGGTGATCCTTTAGTCCTTTTTAATACGTTTTTTTCTGAACGCTTACTGGATATTCATAAAAATTATCTGGGTTTGTGTTTGAATTCAGCCATGATGCTATAGCCAGTTCTGAATGGATGTATTTGTATAAGACAGCTCTCTGCCAACGGGTATTCTTACAACATTTTCAGGGTACTTCTGATACCTATGTGTGAATAAGCCCCAGGAAGCCTATGATAACTTACTGTGCTGTATAACATTCCATATATGCCACTTATTAAATAATGAGGAAAATGAGGACTTTAAAGAGTAACTTTTAAAAAGCAAACTTTTTTTTTTTTTGCAGAATTGTAACTCTGGAAATTTGCATTTTTAGTTACAGCAGGTAGTAAAGTCAAACCAATGGAGAATAACAATAACGGCAGCCTTCTGCATTGTTTTTGCTGCATTAGCAGCACTGAACTGGCCCCTCCAGGACACAAGCCTGGGCAGTGTGTTTGGAGGTCCTGGGCTGTTCAGATAACAAGACCCACCCCCCTCGGCCTTGCTGATGTGGTCCACAGGAATAAATTTGGTACCAGCTTGGCTGCAGGAGGAAGTGTATAAGACACCATCCAACCATCTTAGGGAGTCCACTCTGGATTTGTGTAACTCCTTGGCCTTTTATTCTCCTGAAGATGTCCCACAAAGCAGTGGGTACAGATTTTTCCTTGGGGTTTACTCCTGAAGCAGGGATGCGGGTGGCGCTGTGGTGTAAACCACTGAGCCTCTTGGGCTTGTTGAACAGAAGTTCGCGGTTTGAATCCGTACGATGGAGTGAGCTCCCATTGCTCTGTCCCAGCTTCTGTCAACCTAGCAATTAGAAAGCATGCCAGTGCAAGCAGATAAATAGGTACCCGCTGCGGCGGGAAGGTAAACACCATTTACGTGCGCTCTGGCTTCTGTCACGGTGTTCTGTTGTGCCAGAAGTGGAAAGTTGTCTGTAGACAAATGCTGGCTCCCTCGGCCTGAAGCGAGATGAGCGCTGCACCCCATGGTTGCCTTTGACTGGACTTAACTGTCCAGGGGCCCTTTACCTTACTTTTACTTACCTTACTCCTGAAGCCTTCCTCACAAATGAGAATAGCTGCAAGGCAGCAGATGTTTAAGATCAGAGTTTTCATTCTCCTAGCTGGGCTACCTTCCCAGGTTGGTAAGCCCCATCTGCCCACATGCAGCATGCACTGTAACCAACTTCTTTTACCATTTGTCCCACTACTGGTCTCATCCACTCAATCCGCCAGATTCATATGCAGGGGAAGTCCCTAATTCACCAAGAGTTTGAGACCCATCGGCTACCCTCACCTGGTTTAACCAGCCAGCCAAAGCCATTTCCTGGGGTGTAACAGCTTCTAGGATCCACAGGTGAGAGTTGAGTGCAGGGTGGGGACCAAAGGTGGTCAAACTAGCCCAGAAGGAGCATGATGTCTCCTCCACCAGAAGTACTACCCCTCCCCTAACACCCCATACACCCCAGAAACAGTGTACAGTACAGTAATACAAAATACAAAAGATTAGACTCTAAAACTCAATAAAACCATTTATATAGTTCTACAAGTAAAATTTCGAAAAAACTGAGTAACCAGGGAAAGCCTACACACACACGTGCCCACACACACACAAACACAGAGAGAATCTTCAGCAGCCACCTAAATATCAAGACACTAAGTAATTGTTTAATTTCAGCTGGTAATTGATTCCAGAGGGTTCAGTTTCTAGTACGAGCTAAGTGTACCTTTGGGACAAGTGGTATCGGCAGTGACTCTGAGAAGCGCAATTGCAGGACAAGGTTATATATGAGGGGAAATTGTTCATAAGGGGTCAATGGGCACTACCTGACTCACTCTCACCATGTTTCCTTGACTGATTTTCCTGTAGTTTTCACCTTTGTGCAGGGGCTGGTACACAGGGTGAGCCTATGTTTGACACTCCTGCAGTCACTAGTTAAAGACCTGTTGCAGACTTGAGTGCTGACACTATAAGCACAGAACTTTTTGTGTGTTCACATTTACCATATAAATCCACTGGGAGTCTGGGACTGGTTCTGCTACTCTGTAGAATCTATGTCAGAACTGTAGTTCCCCAGCTTGAAGAAGCCGGAGAGAGAAGAACGGGATGGTTTTATTGCTTTGTCAAATGATGCCTTCATATCTCAACACTGCCATTTTCCTAGAATATATGAGCTGCTAGCTCAGACCAGTAGTTCGCATGGTCCAATACAATTGTGATGGGCAGAAGCTTTTCAAAGCTTGAGACAAGTCTTTCTCATCTCAGTTTCCTGGGATTATTTAACACTGAGGCATCAGGAATTGTATATAGGTTCTTGGGGGTGCAAAAAAATAGCTGAAACATACTTTATGCTTCTTCAAGTGTTGTGCTCACCTTGAATGTGTACCTACAACTGACTGGAAGATGATGCAACAGAGCTTCCCAAAGCTTTGATGTCAGCCATGGGCCTTTTTGGGGGGTATTTTCTACGAGCTGCAGAACAGCATTTTTATTCCTAAAATTGTTAGAAAATGCATCTCAAGGAAAATACTCAAACTTAACATTAGGTGTCAGCATTTTACATATTATTTGCTGAGAGTAGATATCCCAGAAGAGCTACAGCACAGAAAATAAATGGTTCGGGCTTTCATTTCTAAAGCTTTGTGTTACAATAACTGGAATAACAAGAACAACAACCTGTTTGAGTCAAATAAAACATACGTTTTCATACCTCTATCACAAGCAACTCATTTAAATATCATTGTTTAACTAAAAAAATAAAATGGACTTCTGATGAAATAATACTTTCATGACTAAAAAGAAAAATGGAACACTTGAGTGGAAAAAAGAACAGGAATAATGGATAACCGCTTTTTTTTTTTACAATCAAGTGTTATATAAATCTTATGAAATAAATATAGGAATGTTGTAAAATCATCTACAACCACGTTTTCAGGCATGGTGACAAACTTTTTCTGCTTGTTCGCATTTACTTCATCACTACCTACATCATATTGTATTAGAATATTGAGACCCAATCAAACAAAGTCAAGTTAGTGCTTCACTAACTTAGAAAAGAAAAACCCCACTTTGCATGTTATCAGTAATCATTTAAAAGCAACCCTTGTGCTGCTTGGCAAGCAGTTTTCTTTGCGTTCAAAATCTGCATTAATAAATTTAACATGATAGGTGAACTGCAGTACAGATATGTTTGTGCCACACGTGCACCAATCAGGAAACCATTTTGAAAAAAATACCCAGGCCATGTTTCACAGGAAACTTGCATTCTCCTGCCCATAGCTTATCTAGATATCAGAAAATTGTGGTATCTGAAGTAGTCCTCATGGGAATGGACAATCCAAACAAATCTAGAATATGGAAATAGTTTTGTTTCCTCACCTAATGTGAAATTGTTCCCTTCAAAGTGATCTTTTTGTCAATATTTGTGAAATCTATTTATATGGCTCCTGCAGTTGTACGATGAACTTGATAAAGATCAGCAATTCCTATTTTTTACATTCACAGCATGTTTTTATTTTTAAAAAACTAACATAAATGTACTATTCTATGCATCATTTTATGTTTCCTGTTAAATATAAGTGAAAATTGATTGGGGCATTTCTCCATGGAATTCTATCTTTATTTCATCATAATTACTTCTTATTTGAATAATGACAGATGAACTGCTTCATTCAACTGCAGTTTTTTTAAAAGCTTTGAAGTCACAATAACAGCACCGGATTTAAATCCTGAAGCTATTATTGTGGCAGGAAAGAGATCGGGGGGTGTGGGGATTAAAACTTGGGGTCCTAAAAAGAAAATACCGTATTTTTTGCTCTATAGGACACACTTCCAAAAATGGAGGGGAAATGTGTGTGAGTCCTATGGGGCGAATGCAGGCTTTCGCTGAAGCCTGGAGAGCGAGAGGGGTCGGTGCGCACCGACCCCTCTCACTCTCCAGGCTTCAGGAAGCTCTCCGCAAGCCTTGGTAGCCCGCGGAAGTTCCCGTCGGGCTCCCTAGGCTTGCGGATAGCAGCCTGCATCTCAAAGCCTGGGGCGCGCTGCATAGCGCGCCCCAGGCTTTGGTTCCCCAACCTGGTTTGGAGGCTGGTGGCGGGGAGAAGCGTGCTTCTCCCCGCCGCCAGCCCCACAAACTGGGG